CAGAGAGGGGCGGGGCAGGGAGTTTTGGCAGGGCACGCGCGGAGTAGCCAGGGCGGGGACGGGGCGAGGCCAGGCAGTGACATGGGCAGGGCAGGGCAAGGGCGGGCGGCAGGACGGAGCCGGCGGGCAACTGTGCAGGGCGGGCCGGGGCAGGGCAGGGCGGGGCGGGCGGCAGGGAGGGGGGCGGGCGGCAGGGCAGGGCGGGGCGGGCGGCAGGGAGGGCGGGCGCGGGCGGCAGGGCAGGGCGGTGCGGGCGGCAGGCAGGGCGGGGCGGGCGCAGGCAGGGCGGGGCGGGCGGCCCAGGGCAGGGGTGGGAGCGGGCGGCAAGGGCAGGGCGGGGGGCGGGCGGCTCATGGAGCAGTGTGCGGGGGGGGCGGGCAGGGGGGCGGGCGGGCGCAGGCAGGGCGGGGCGGCGGCAGGGCACGGGCGGGGCGGACGGCAGGGGGGCGGCAGGGCGGGCGGGCAAAATAAATAACAAAGGTGCCGGTGCGGCATAGGCGGCAGGCGGCAGGGCGGGCGGCAGGGTAGTGTGTCGGCAAGGGCGGGGGAAGGGGCGGGCGGCAAGGCAGCGGGCGCAGGGCGGGCGGCCAGGGCGGGGCGGCAGGGCGGGGCGCAAGGGCGGGCGGCAGGGGCGGGCGGCAGGGGCGGGCGGTTAGGCGGAATCGAGGCAGTCGTAAAAGCGAATCCCTAGTATCTAGGTGTTAATGGCCAAGTATTTTTTCAAAGAGAATGGACCAGAGTCATTAAACCAATTATTATGCATGCATGTATCAAGACTTGAAAAAAGAATGGTGGGATCGGTTATATCGATCTAAAACTGGATTATCTAAACTACTAATGGTGAAGGTCTGAGCGTTTATTCCACAAAACGAATGTAATTTAATTGTGTCATAGATGGAGCGTGACAGGATGAGGGAAAAAAAATCCACTCTTTTGGGTTCAAGAACTAAGAACTAGAGATATTAGCTCTTTTTTTTCCTCCAGATTACCAATACTTTGTTGGAAAAATCATAGTACAAAAAAGTAGGCAATCGGAGAAGAAGAAGGCCGAAGAGACTTAGATAGGATTATAAATATAAATCTTTTCCTCCTGGCGGTGGTACGTATTGAGAAAAGTTAAAAAAAAAAAATTTATCGCAAGCCTTGAATCAAACTTTATCAAAAAAAGGACCTTGAAGATTTTCTACAATATCTTAAAAGCTGGGGATTATGTCAAGTTGGGGAAGAGAAGCTACTATGCCCTAGATAGCAATAAATGACAAATTTTAAGATCTAAGCTTTTTTATAAATTGGTTAAGAGGTACATAAAGTGCCACTTGCATAAAGAAATTAGAAGTGATATAAAATGGACATTTCTTACTATGCCTGGGTTCTCCCAGAGTACTCCAAAAATGATGATCCTCATGAAAACTCTTGAAATATGTCTTGAAATACAATTATTAATTCGCAAACACAAATTAGAATATTTAATCATCCTAACTCTTTCCTAAAAGCCACCTCATCCCATCTTCTCCTTTTTCCCTAGAATACAGCATTCAGAGCTTTTATGTCAAACACGATATGGAAAGAAAAAAAAACAAAAAAAAAAAAAAAACCCTGGTTCCACGTCAAAACCACTGTAATAATTATGTTTTTAAATGGAATAGATTGGTTTAAAGAATAGATGAGTACTAAAGAGAAAGAAAAAGGGTATGATAGAGGCCATGAGATTCAAATTAAAAATTATTCATCAATGGGAATATTTAAGCATCAATAGACGTTTAAGGAAGAAGACTAAAGAATGTTTCACACAGGAAAAAGAATAATCTTTTAATTTTAGGTCTTCTTGTAGAAAACACAAAATTGATTAAGTAAATTATAAAATAGATTATATAATGATGAGTTTCAAAAAGTATAATAATTAAATTATACAAATCTAATTATGAAGACAAATGAAATAATGTGTAATGCACATGACATTAACATTTTGTTTTTATTCTTAATACCATTTTTTTTTTTACTAAAAAGCTATATTTGTTATAGATTTAATTGGTGAATGTTACAATTATTTTTTTTTTTGTACGTGCAGAATATAAAAAGATTAAGTCTTCAGATATATGATCGTTCAGGTACGATATGTGAATTTTTAGTATAATATATGATGTTCATCACAAGTTGCTGCAAATGTAGCAAATTAAGGATAAAATTGTCTATTTAGAAAATGATGCCAATGTAATTCAATTATCCAATATCAACAAAACTTTTTTTACTTAAACTTAACTATTTTCAATGTTTTGAAGGTGGAAAATAATACAATAAATCCTGCAGTAGAAAATACAATACAATAAAATGTTTACAGAAATAATAGGCAAAATAAACTACTACAAACATTCTGGATTAAAGAGAAATTATCAAAATTTGGTCTAATATTGGAAACATTAATTAACATACATTTAATAAGCACTCGTTACTTAAAATGGTTGAGAATAATCAATTCTTCAAACTGAGGAAAGCTCCACAAGTTTTACCATCAACCTCTCAAACGTATTTCTTTGTGCAGATCCTTGCACATTTTGCGGCCTACATTTTCGCGTAATCGGCATTTTTACATACACTCCCTTGGTTGTGTAGCCTAGCCAAACAACACATAGGAAAAGTTTAAATTATACAATTAATTTCTTAGAGTTCAAATAAAACCTATAATTTTTATTTTTTCATGATGAATTGGATAGAATATTGTAATAGCTTCAACATAATAAGAAAATTGGTTAAATGAAACAATAAGTAGCATCTTCATTTAAATATGGAAATTTTAATTGGAAGACAACGGGTGCTAAAATTTAGAATATAAACTGGATTAAATAAAACTAGGTATCATAACTAATGAAATTATGGGTTTTAGATTAGGTTAGTAGATTTATTACTACAATTATACAAATATTCTCACCTTAAATATATTTTACAAAGATAATTTAAACCACCATTCAAAATTAACATTGAGACCTAAAATGAAACTTTTCAAATTATTTTACCACAAACAAAATGTACAATGTAAACACAGATAAAATAAGATATAAAATTACTCTAACAATACTTGTGTGTATGTGTTTATACACAGCAAAGAAATGATTTTTACCCTAAATTGAGGAAGTAATAACAGAATATTATAAATAAGTATTTTGTTGGAAGCATAAGAGCAATTGAGTGTGTAAAAAAAATTTTTTTTTCTATACATCACGTAAACATGTGCTTAGCTAAGAAGCATGCCAACACTCTAAATGCTTTAAGAAGTGCGTCCATAGCAATGGCTGTTAAATGGCTGTTCGAAAGTTCATATACAAGCAATTTAAGGGGCTTAGATTTTAACAGTACTTATAAATATTTGGATAAGCATCCACTTGTCCATGTCCCATTTCTCCTGTAAGTCCCATTTGCCCCGCTGGGCAAAAATTTGGTCTCCCTTGTGCCAATTTCTCACCGAGGTCCAATCTTTGTCCCATTTGCCTCATGTCCGGATTTTGTTGCCTTGCTCATTTGTCTCACCTATGTTATGCTGCTCCTCTGTCCCATTGTGTCCTTTTGTTTCCCATTTGTCCCCATTGTCTAACTCGTCCCCGCTTCCCATTTTGTTCCTTTTCTCCCCTTTTCCAATTTAGTCATCAAGAGTATGAAATTCTTAAACTCATGAAGTGTTAATGCTTATTTTGATAACTTGAAATAACAAAAATATTGAATGTTACAGCATGCCTATATCATGTGACATACCAGAATCCCGCAGGCAATTTAATAAAAGGAAATCTGCATAGAACTACTTTAGAACTAGTTGCATAAAAAATAGTCTATGACGCAAACGAATACACTTTGTCAGACACGTGTCAATAATTGTGTTCCATGCTTGCCAGTCTGAACGCTACTATTCTTGTGCAAGCATGGCCTCCGGGGTCTATAATTTAAAATAAATTGACAAGACGGCGTTGGAATCAGGTTCCACAATTATTTAGGCTGGATTAGTCTCTCTCTTGGCAGCAACTGAAGTGAACGGTACTCATTTGCAGACTTAGGCTGAGTAACATTTTTAATGTTATAAACTGGGAAATCTTTACGTAATTATGTGATTTGTTTATGTGTAGTATTGTCATTTTGTAATTTGAAAGGAATCATTTTTAAAAGATGTGCTGTAATTGTGATTTTGGGATTCATGTAAAATAGACTCCTACATGGGGAATTAAGTGTAGAATAGACTCAATAACTGAACTAACTGGCAATATTGTTATAGAGTTATGTAAAATGACAGGGGCAGTCCGCGAATGGCATTCATCCGAGGCTCAAGGATGGGAAAGAGTTTGCGTTCGCGACTGCAATTAACTTTGAATAGATCGGATGATAGAATATTATTCTCAATATCATGTTCGGGGAAACATTACAACAATTTCTTCCCGCTGCCAGAACTTTACGACGAAGCAGGAGCACCACAGGACCATCCCACCAAAATAATAATAATAATAATAATAATAATAATAATAATAATAATAATAATAATAATAATAAAAATAATGTGGATTGGTTGTATTTTCGCAATCAGCAGAAACTGAGTATGAAATATATACAGCTGCCCCACAAACTACGGGCAACGAGAAAAATCCCATGAGAAAACAGGAAGGGATGAAAAGAATATTAAAAATAATTAATTTCATTTTAAAAATTTAATTATAATTTACTACTGAAAACTCCACTATTAATTCCATCTAGAGTCTAGTCTATAATTTGTATTCTTGATGGGCTAATGTAGTTATTTCAAGCAATCCACAAACCTTAATCGCAATTTGCGCTATTAGGTTTCACTCTTAGAAATATAAATTTAAATATAATACAAAAGAAAAAAATGAAAAAAGTAGTACCATAATTTTGTTCGGATTTTTTGCGATAATTTTATGTTACGCTGCATTGGGCAACAAAGCAGCGATGGATATTTGAGAAGTTCATTGTTGACAGGCGAAAAGATGGGAGAGATAAGATAAGTTTGTTCTATTTACATAACGTTAGTGTTACAATGTTCTGTACGTTCAAGAAAACGATATCTTCAACGAGAAAATCTTCAATAAAAAAGAATGCATGTGTACATATGCATAACGTAACAATATCGTCATTTCGAATGGATTCATGATGTGCTATTTTGGATGGCTTCTAGTTCTAGATGTTCAATTTATACGTGCAATTATCCTCTCTTGCCTGTATATCGCTGAAAATAATGCGAGAAGTTTCAAATAATGCGAGAAAGTATGTGCTGTTACACAACCACTAGTTTCTTATTGGTCCACCGGCTTTCAATTTCTGACCGGGGGAAAAAGCACCCAATGTTCTTCTATTATTAGGTCATTTCATGAATGTAGTAAACAATTATCGTTGCATAAAAGTTTTGAACTTCGGAATTCCTAGATTTCCTAGGAGTATCTTTGGTTGGCGTTTGAATATCGCGGAACTGCGTGGTGTAACGGTAACATTGCTGACGCACGATCCACAAGGGCGGAGGTTCGAATCCCAACAGTGACGGGGAATTTTAGTAATTGCTAACGACTTAAATAGTTAACTTCGAGTCAGTACAGTCGAAATAAAACACGACTTCAATGAAATTGTCGGCATCAAGTGATGACGAGGTCCAAGCCTGATTTCAGTGCTGATCACACCCAAATCTGATGGTGCCATCGCGTCCGTTTCTTTTCTTCGAGAAGATATACTGAAACTACGTGAGCATTGTGACTTATGAGATGTACTGTCACCATGTTGCCATGCGTAGGTAATTATTTTATTTGAAGCTAATATTTTATAATCATTAAATCGCGAACAAATAAAAAAAATACCAATTTTATTTTAGAGCGCTATCAACCGCATTTTGGTCCTCTTGCTGGAATTTTTCTAACAGTTGAAAACACACAGTCCAGGGCAACAACCTTTCCCACTGCATTGTATGTCCGAGACGTGCGGGGTTCGAGTCCCGAAGAACGCAAATGTTCGATGCTAACTAGATAGCTGCGTGGAATTCAGCCGTTGCGCTGTTCGGAGAATTCTGGGGGAAGGCTGCTCTCATCGGTATAACTCGCGCAACTTTTCTTGAACGATGACCTTCATCCCCCTCCCTTGTGCAATTAACAGTTGAAGGCAAAAGCTCGCAGCGGGCACTGATGACAACCTTCCAAGCATTAAAACTTCGTTGGCGCGAAACAGAAGGTAGTCAATGCCAGTTGCTTTCATAGTGCAGAACCCCTGTTCAGATTTATTGTCAATATCGAAAGAAATAGCCGAGTCAGATCCAGGTCCTTCAAGGGAGTCACCTAAAACTCCCGAAAAAGTTAACCACAAGATGCAGTTTTGACTTTCATTTCACAGACGTTGGCATTACTTACTCTAGTGGCTGACTTTGTAACTAATACCCCCACTCCACCCGAAATCGTCAGTCCATCGTTCAAGAAAAGTTGCCCGAGTAATAGTTTTCTGTGTTTTTTTCGATCAATACCAGGCAAACGCTGGAGCACTACCCTAACAAAAGGGCCACGGACCTTGAGCAATATTGCCTCCCACTTGTCCTTTTTTCTCCCTTTACACACACACAAACACAATTTTCGTGTATATAACTACCAGATATGGTTAAGATCTTAAAGCTTGTCATGGCTGGCTCGTATGGTATCCCGATGGCAGAGATATTTGAAAGCGCAGCCCGCCCCCGCCCCCCCGGCATGTCACCGTATGCATAGGTTGGCGCTGGATCTCCTGTTGTAGGGGGAGGAACACTGCCTTCTCCAAGAAATAGTGTGCCAGGAAAGACTCACCGCACCGAGCCGAATCTGGGCCTTTTAATAAAAATGAATTGAATTAAAGAATTGAATTAATGCCTTATTTTACGTGGTGAGACTCAGGCCATTAGGCCTGCTCTTCCGTCTGACCACGCAAATTTCGCTACGCTCCTTTCACCAACTAGCGGAGAAAGGAGGTGTATCTTGGGCGAGAAACAGGCGATTTGAATTTAGCTCAAAGGCGTCATTTAGGCTTGAGGATCTTTTACATGCAAGTAAATCTACGAAAATGGGACAGCCGGCTTTACTTCCCCTCCAAAGGAAGACTTATGAAGGATTTTTTCGCCCTTAAAAATCCACGGCTTCGATCGGGTTTGAACCCGCCAACTTGGGTACAACAGTCCAGTACGCTAACCGTTACACCATCGCCGCCGCAAAAAATCGCATTTATGTTGGTAGAATCCACATCACTGGGAAACAAGTGAAGGAGAAACACTTCCAGCATTATTTTGTTAATAATTTATTTATCCTTGTTCGATACTAGATTATCTTTCAAGGGGTTGAACAAACTACGATAACAATTATAGCTTATGAGGGAAAACCCTCAGAACATTCTACTATAACACGTAAGTTTGCATTACACCTCCAGCATCTGTTTTGATTGTGGTGAGAACGCAATTTACCTTTTCATTTGTTACAAGCCGCATTTCGTGCTACCAACAAAATTTCTGCTGCTAGCTCTCTCACCAGCCACTAGTGCCTCCTTAAAGAGACTTTTCTAGCGCCCTGTATAACTTGCGGGACTAATGACCATAGCAATTGAGTCGCATGGAAATACGAAATAATCAATGTATGTGATATTACTCTCTCGAATTCATGATCGAAACTTTTGACCGAGTATTTGAGTAACAAAGGTGTGGAACAAGGTACATGTCAATATATTTATCACGAAAGAACAGCGAGATATTTCTTTTCGTTATTTTCCTAAACTTAGATTTTCTCTCACTTGGTACAAGTACTAAAACGGTATTTATCTTTCCGGTTGCATTGTATGTACTATTCTCAAAGTTCAGAGTATTAATGAAAAGACGCCCCACTTTCCACGCCTTGACTAAGCGTTTGTCTGCTGCTTACAGATGTAGCTCTCTGCGTGTGTGAACCTCACGGGAGGGTCTGCTCGCATTTTGTGAAAGTAAAAGAAGCGAATACTGGTGCCTTAAATTGTATTTTTGTATTTCAGTCAACCTTTCTTCACAAATCAAACATCGCGATCCACTCGAGTTACTCCCATTTCAATTTAAACACACGGCCAAGTTCTGACGGTTTTTCTCTCACTTGTCCTAGATGCCTTAGAAGGTCTTCAAAAAAAATCCCCAAAGCTCCACAGATTGCTAACACGATAGAAGCTTACGTGAGAGGAGGTAAGAATCTGCCAGCAACGTCCGCTGTGGACGTTTTTGAAGAGAAATGCGTTTAGGTCTAGATTTCAGCATTGCTATTAAATTTTTGAATTGATGGTCCATTGCTACAGAACTGCATTCTTCTCAATCATGCAAATCGATTTTTTTTCTCAAATTCCCTCTTGATCGATTCTTCGTAAGAAAATCCTGCGGGCGCCTCGCAGCAGAAACCCCAGCGAGTCAATGGAGCCTCTGTACGAACGGGAAGCACATCACTTGGAACCGTTCTTTCTCGCTAGTACTTGTGATTCGCCACTGTCCTCGAGTGTTTTAAAAACCACGTTTAACTTCTTAAAAACAATGCAGTTTTGAGTTACTACGCGTGTAATTCTTCGTGTTACCCAATGTCTTATTAAAACGCTAACTACTGCGGAATAACCACTTCCAAAACTCTCTTCACATTGTCCGAATAATATTTCTGTCTACTTGACATCCGGGTGGAGGTAAAACGATGTTGCCACTTAGTCGGGAGGCAGAAATGCTCGCGCTTTTTTTATCAGATCACAACAGCAGCAAGAAACAAATCGCAATAAGAGCACGCAACAGTAGACGACACAGAACCGCACATACTCGTACGATGCATAACCACAAACGTAATGACGCTCTTCAATTTACAGATAGTTCGCGAGGTAAGAATTCAATTCTTTTTCTTAATACGTATCGGCAACTCTGCAGTGACATCAGCAGAATTTGAAACATCTGATTGGATAATGGAACCTCCCAGTCCAAAGTCAGTCGCCAGCTGTCAAGTAGTCAGAAATATTATTCGAACTATAGGTGCTGTCGTCTTTTCGTTTGATTTCGTCACTGCAGCTCTGATCGCAGAGCACGCGGTCCCAACCTATTTTTCTCTCTCCCGAGGGTGCCGGCCGCACCTTCCTCGTCTGAGCTCGAGTGGAGGGCGGGGGTTCCCCCTAATTTCCTCTTCGTGGAAACGAGCTAGGCCTTCGGGCGAGATCCGTGGGCGGGGCGCGCAGAGCAGAGCAAAGCAGAGCAGAGCAAAGCAGAGCAGAGCAGAGCAGAGCGTCGCGTCGGCGCATTCCAGGCCGCCCGGCCCCGCTTCGACGCCCGGCGCAGCCTTGGGCCCGCCCAAGGCCTCCGTGCGACCACGCCCAGGCAGGTGCTTGCGCTCGGCAGCGTACTCGCACAACGGATCGCTCATTCATTTGTTATGTAATTACCACTATTGTGTCAATTTATTACTAATTAACCCACAAAACGGATACAATTAATTCGGTCATTCTATAAATAACATGCTACGAAACAGTTTTCCACAATTTATAAGACTCCGTCGTGAAAAGAAACAAATGCAACTAGTACTACTGATTAATAGGAAATTACCCTCCTAGAAACACACATCATCTTTGTGAAACACGTTAAAGAATAAAAGTGGACAGCCAAAATTTCGTGGATTATTCTATGAACAAGTCGGCAGAAGCATATGCTATCCGCATCATACGTTAACATCGTGTATAGCTCGAAAATTGTGTGTCTTAGGCACCTAAATAACCGGAGTTAAGATAGATCGATCGGTATTAAATAATAAAAATAACAATGGAAGTGGTTTGGGCGGATTGAGCGTTAAGTCTCCTCTGAGTGAAACAAAAAATTGTGATTTGAAGTGGTAATACGCAAATACAAAATATAACTATCCCGTTTGACATCAAAATCGTCGTTCATTTAATAGTGGCACAGGAAATGCAATAGACAATTAGGTCTTAAATGACGCCAGTAACTATTTGGGTTATGATAGTAATTATCATTAATTTTCCGTCGAATAGAAACAGTTTCCGTCGAGATTAGGGAGCTACATTTGTGGCCCACAAGCGAAGAAACGTATACGAGCCATTCTTTCTCAGAATTGGAACATTTTACCATCTTACAAAAGGGTTACGAACCGAGTCCGCAGGATGTTCAAACTAGTGGAATACATAGGTCTTCCTCGAAGTTGTTTTCTGTTGTTGGTTTTTTACTTCGAGGAAGTCATAACACTTTTATGGGTTTTTCCTTTCGTGCAAATGAGCCTATGTTCGTTCACGGTGCCAGCTCTAGTTAATTGATCAGGCACCATAGCACAAGAGCATGTTACAATTCAAAGGTAGAGAAAAATATGATTGAGAATGCAAAGAGATTTTACAATAAAATATCGCAATGGGTTAATATTTTTTTATTAATAAAAGCTATTCGAGAGGCGTGATTTTACATGAGATAAAGGAGCACTACTTAGTTCGATTCAGCTTTTCTCGGTCTGACAATGCATTAGCTCACATGGAATCCGGCTTCGTTATCTTCTCGTTTCTTCGCTTTTCTACATCTCCAATATTTAGAGAGAAAAATGTCCTCTTTTAGCTGCTTAAAATAGGATTATTTATATTGAAATAGTATGTCGTGACTCAAATAAATATTTCACAAAATACGTTTTTAAACATAAATTGTAAACAGTTTTAAATTTTTTCATTCGGAATCTTATTTAACACGGAAAATGGTCTTTCCGTTTTAACATTTTATTTGGTGCAAATTCCATGTTCAAAAAAAGCAACGCAAAAAAAATTACATCATACGAGTTCCACAACCTGTGTCCTAAGAATCCAAGGTTTACCGAAATCATTTAAACCAAAGTGCGGTCGAGTATAAGGTTTTATAACCGATTGATATCGCCGTCTAACCAATACAATTTTGTGTTACTATACTGTATGTTATTATTTCTCATTCAATTCTAAATATAATTTTAAATTTTCGTTCTTATAACGATTCTTCCTACCCTCATTTTAATTTAAGATTTCAAATTTCCGATTATGTTTATCATCGAAAACCAACTGCATTAATTTTTATTTTGCGTGTATTATCATAAGACTTACTCATCTATTCCACTGCGTAGAAATTAAGAATTTCTCCTTACGGATTAAACATCAGTACAATGAAACACAGATCTTTGATATTCCTTGTGTGATTCTTGCACCCTTGCATGACACAACGTGAGCTGTACGGCGTGGTAAACATTGGTGTGCCATTAAGGGCTGTTTTCCTGTCAAATGCTTGACCTCGCTCGTAAATCTTTTAAATAAAATTCAGTTCAGTTAATGATACTATTCAAATGTAGTTACAAACGTACTTGTAATCTTAAATATAACAACTACATACTATTACAAAGGGGGAGGAAATGCCATTTCGGGTCCTAATTCTAAATCTAAATCAGCAAATTTCATCAGGGATATGGGGCATCTGGATATCCGTTCCGGGTTGTAGTTTGGCAAGTGGCGTAGCACGCACCTTCTCGAACTTCTCGGGCGGCAGCGCGGCGGAGCCCAGCACGGAGTACTTGCGGAACTGGCGGCGCAGGTCGGGGTCGCGGAACGTCTGCCACGGGAAGTGCACGGTGCGGTGCCACGCCTCCTTCTGGAAGGCCGCCACTTCCGCCGACACCTCCAGCTGCAACACACACGCACGCCACTCCGCTCGCCACGCCACACTCCTCTTGCTCGTGCGCGCCGGCGGGAATGGAATCGCCCACCTCTCATGCGGAAAGGAAGAAGATATTTGTCGAAATGGCCAAAGAGAGGTACAATAAGAACAAAAATTAGGAATTTCATCGGAACGTTTTAAGTAATCTACAAAAATAGTGACAGAGATTTGTATTTTACTTACTTTCTCTATTTCAGAAACCCCTGTAAAGGTTCTCGACCATAGTGGAATAACTGAATAAAAATGTCTCCAAACACATTGAACTTACTTTATGTGGAATATATTTAAGACTAAACAAATCATTAATGCAATTTTCACCACTCCCATCCTCTGGTCGATTTTAAAGTAAGCGTGTTTTTCTAATATTTTTCTACAGTTCTTAAACAGTTTTCAATCTTATTCCTAGTCGTGACCAACTATAAGAAATCGATTCACTGCTCGGAGTAAACCAAAACGTAGTAAATGGAGTTTTCTAAGCTAATATTTTCCGTCCCAAATAATGCTATGCTACGAATGTCGACGTTGGCGACAAAGCTTCGATCATAGGCCTCGCACTTCATAAACCCAGTAAATCTGCGCATCTGGGTAATTTCTAAGACAATTTATGCCAAAATAGTCTTATTCCCTTCTCTGATCTCGCGCTGCATTGAGTCCATTCATTTGTTCGTTGTTTCCGGTTAGGTATAATACCCAAAAGATTTAACACCAGAAATGATTAATATATAGTTTATAAATTTAAATAAATTTTGACAAGATTTAGCGGAAAATTGAAATTTTTAAACAGTTTAATAGTGAGGAAAGTTTGTTTTAATTTAAACCTCAGAATATTGCCTTAGGAAAAACAGTAGTTCATGTAAATGAACACATTATGTACACGAGTAATTTTTGAGTAGCACAACATACCTTCTTTTAAAAACTTTCCGTTAATTTTTCGCGACTATTGTTACATTATCGTTTTAAAAGTATACCAAAATAAAAGAATACAAGGATTTTCTCTGGCGAGAGTATCGAAATTCTGATACTGAAGATAACGTTTCAAGAGAGTTCAAAATCTTAGATTATAAATAACGTTGCCGAACGGCTACCTGCCGCTGATTCACCAAGAGGCTTGCCAAGCTTCACCGTTAGGCAAAGGGTGATAAGGTGCTCGCGCCCTTGCTCTTACTTCGTCTCACAACAAAACAAAACGAGATCACTAGGTCATTTTGACATATTTTTATACCTGTAAATATCACGTTTGTACATTATAGTACAATGGTGCAACTTTGTGCCAAGGTATCCAATTATAAGTCAAGCAAGTTTAAGGGCTCTGACGCTTCATATATTGCCTAAATTGTTTCCATCCCACGTTGCTTCTATACTCCTCTAATAAGAAGCTTCTTCAATCCATTAAGTTTCTTCTGGGAACCAATTGAGAGAATATTTTATATTACTAGTTCCCCGTTCACGCAGAAATTAAAACAAAACTATCCAGTGTTCGAACTTACGAGAAGTGTTTATGATTTTGTTACGTACTCATAAAATCGGGGTGAGATACAAAAACAATTGAACAGTTTCGATTTTGCCTCCAAAAAGCAAATACTTGCTTATAATAATAGCTTATAATAATACGCAATTTTGAATACCTTACGTTACGGATTACACTCTCAGATTCAATATGTCGCCGCATTTGACAAGGTGATATCTTGTCACGAGGAAGAAAGAAGCGTCAGTATTCACGTGTGCCGTTTCAGAACAGTCAATTTTTGCTTCCGTAGAAACCCATTTTTCACACACTCGGCAGCAACATTTTGCTGTAGTAAGCCTTTAGTTGTCTCTTAAACTTGCTTGGCCGTTATTCGCTTGTCATGGCACGCAAGTTGCACCACGGTTCGTCCCCAGGGCCAATTGGGTACACTCAGGTACGGATCCAGAGACGAATTTTGGAAGGGAAAATTCAAAATGTTTTCTTCGAAGGTGTACTATTACAGATATCGTAAAATGTCGTGGGGTACACTAGCTCATGCTGCAATTCAATTATTCGTTTTAATGATGATCCGAAAATATTTTTGCTTGAACGTTTCGTAAAAAATTAAAATGAATAGTTACTGGACAATTTTAGCGTGGGGGGGGGGGGATTTCTCTCCTTTCTCTCCTCGTGGATCCGCACCTGGTACACGTGTAGTAAATATCGCACGAGGAATATGTGCACTCTGTCGATGTCAGAGACGGCTACACTGATTGCAGACTCAAAAACATTGACTTTTGTAACTTGTCAGGAAGCCTCGGCACAAAAACTTTCGCATTTCGGCTAAGAAAACAGACAAGAACACAAAACAAATATGAACATATTAACGCAGCTAAACAAATTTCTGAGCGATTAATCCCTGGTTGATGGTCGATGTTTTCTGAACAGCTATAGTACTACACGCGCAAGTTTCCTTGATATTCCACAGCGGGGTGTACGGGGAGAGGAGGGTTGTGGCTAGGTCACTGCTTAAAAGAGCACACAAACTGTGAGCATGAACTTAACTCACACAAAACGTGCTACGAGCAATGCTACCATTGTTTTGAAAGTACGAGGTGGTTGTTGCTACCATTGTAAATGGGTACGTGCCGTTCCGAGTCAAACTTAAGTATCTCAACGTGCCGTGCTATTCCGCACAGGGTGAGGACTAGGGAGCTCGTGTATCAAGAAAACATGCGTCAGTAATTTGCGTAGATGGATCCACTTCAACGGCTGTCGAGTGCACAGACACCTCGCGCGAACTCTACACGCCGCCTGTTCGTCGAGGCGGAAAGGCGGAAAGGCGGATAGGTAGAGGCTGAGGCGGGCAGCACCGACCTTGCGCTTGAGGTTGTGCTCGGTGAGGTTGGAGGCGTAGGCCCACTCGGCCAGCGAGGCGCGGTTCAGGTGAACGCCCGTGTCGTGGTCCAGCTCCCGCAGATATTCGCGCGCGGCCGCTTCGGGGTCCGGGTCGCGTGCCGCCGCCTCCTCCAGCGCGGGGTCCAGCGCCGACACCAGCCCCAGCACCACCAGCACCATCAGCGGCACCAGCCGCAGCGGCGCGCCGGGCGCCATCCTGCGCACAAAGCACGTGCGGGTCAGTCAGACAGCGGGCGGAAATTGGGAATTAAGAACAGAGGATTGATTAGGAATTCCGGGTGCGTAAACTGCTAAGGTGATAAGTCCCGAAAGTGTAGTATTATCGTGGGAGGCAAAGTTGATCTCCCACCATCTGGCATCGAGCCCGACGGCTCTCGGGGTTTCCTTAACCAGGTATCACTTATCAGTAGAGCACCGCCTAGCAAGGATAAGCTCTAAATTAAGAACAAGCTGTCAGCTTGTGATTGGTCTCTCCGCAGATGTAATACATGTAATCTTAACTGAATGAGTAAGCTGTAAGCTTAACTGCATGAGTAAGCTGTGAGGATAGGACAGAGGACGGAAAGATCGCGAGCGGTCCGCAGACCGTTTGTTAGTGTACTCCTTCGGCATTCGCTTGTTGTTGATCGGAGAAACCAAGCAAAACTACCGACCAAAGTAGTCGGCCACTAGAGTTCTCCTCCAGACAGCGTTTGAATTCAACCTGCCTATGTGGCTAGAGTCGAAAATCCTGTCACCGTTGAGATAACTCTTAGACCTTCCAGTCAAAGGCACTGCAGTGACATCAATTTATGCTCTAAGCCACCTAAGCCGGTAGAAAGAGAGGAGATACTGCATGGACATAGGAGATGTGAAATGCATTTTGCCTTGTGGCAGGTCGCAGAGTGAGGGGAAAAACGTTTGAAACAATTCCTAGGAAATGGCGCTCTAGTATAGTTGAGTATCTATTGACCCCGGCCTAAAATATCTTAAATTTTGAATATCTATTGGCCCCGGCCCTGCGTTGTGGAGAAACAGCCGACCGCCACTCGAGATCCTACCTGGCGAAAGCTCTAAGTATGACTGCAGTGACAGTGCAACCGAAATATCGATCGGACGCTACTGCACAACTGCGAGCGGAATCATCCAATTTGTTTGTTGAAACACACACACACACACAAATATATCTTTCAATAGCGTTTGCATATTCTCATAATTTCACACCTAATTTGTTTAAACATTTGCAGGAAGCATACACAAGTTTTAGAATATAGGTGTTGTGCTGCGTTATCGTTGGCATTTCTAATGAAATAATTATAAACGTTGTCATTGTCAACAATAGTATTTATTACAAGAGCAGCTTTCTATTGCTTAGCCATCATCATCAGTTTTCCGTTCTATCAGTTTTCCGTTCCATCAGTTGTCCAGTGTCATCAGTGTGTAGGTAGTCGTTTTTGTGGCTTCCATTCAGCAGACAACTGGTGATGATGGCTAATCCATCGAAAGCTGCTCTTGTAATAAATACTATTGTTGGCAATGACAACGTTTATAATTATTTCAGCATATACAAGACTATCTCCACGTGTTACAGATGGTCTTGGTATTTCCGATGCCCAACTAGCGAAGACCGAGGTGTAGGTTACTGCTCACGATACTATTGCGAATCTGGGAATCGAGTGGCGATCGGCCTTTGGTTGCCGTCGGTCGCGTAGCGTCTGGAAATCCAGATTCCTATCGAACCCACGAAGTTACCCTTTCCAGCATCACGTTCGGCGTTTTCATTCACCAAGTAAACAAGAAATAACACGATAATCAAAACATCTATAGGGAGCCGGAAACTGCGCTTACTACACTTATTTTGTCAGCAATTAATGTATATTGTACTTGCTTGAATACTATAAAATTTACCAAATTAAACTGTCTCAATAAGATTAACACAAATGTTCGTATCTAAATTTTGAACTATTTATTGGAGTTTTCACCAGTTTATTGGAGTTCCATAGGGTGTGCCTTAAAGCAGAGCAGCATATTAAAATGTTGAAACTTTATATTAAAATTACTATTTTAATCGATTACACTGGTTTACAATGCACTCTGATGCACCGAATGAAAACTCTACTAAAGAGATAAATTTCTATACCAGAATTTGCGTTCTCAATCACAATTAGACTTATTTTGTTCAATTTTACATTATTCTCGCTCAGTCTCTTCTTTATTATGCTGGATGTACGTCGAACAATAGATTTGTTCCAGCACCACCAGAAATGAAAAGGAATGAAGAGGTAATATTGCGGGGGGGGACGCATTGAGAAATGTTGATTTTAGTAGCAAATAATAGCCTATTTGGGAAGCCGAGTGCGCCGAAACTTTATGGGCCACGGGTTGGAATCTCGCCGCAGACATGATTTGCTGGTGTGAAGGGACATGATTGGCCTTTTCCAACCACCATACATCACCCTCAAAGCCTTTCCATACTTACCACTCTGTCTCAATAAGTGGTCGGAATACAGAAATAGAAAACGGACACTATCCAACAGGATACCCGAGTCTACGGTAGAAGCAGCTATGACCGTTGGCTGGAATAAGCAACCATAGATGGCAGGTGTTCCACAGTGAATTCCCAATGAAGTCCCTGATCGCGCCAAAATGTGTCGGATAGAGGAAATATGTAGATTACTAAAAAAGGTTCTCGAAAAAAGACTGATAATAATAATAATAATAATATAACAATAATAATAATAATATAACAATAATAATAATAATATAACAATAATAATAATAATATAACAATATAATAATAATAATATAACAATATAATAATAATAATATAACAATATAATAATAATAATAATAATATATAACAATAATATAATAATTAAATGATAACTTGCAAGGGGCCCTCCACCGAGAACCATGAATGAATGCAAAACTAGACCCGTTCTGAAGCACAAGCGTGAATGTCAAATCGCCCAAGGCAAAGAGCGTGCAACTCTCCTACGTACGCTGCATCACTACGAGCGATTCACTTGGGAGTTTTCCCCTTGTCTGGGAGGGGGAATCTCGTATTCACACCGCGTTGTCGCTACCGGCGCCGGAGACACTCATCGCGGTCGTGGAACACGTTCGTCGAATGATTAAAAAGAGAGTGTTTGCGAGCGTGAAAAGCGCTGCTACCTTTCTAGGAAATGAGCATTTCGCAAATGAAAGGGCGTGAGAAGGCTACATGCGGGTACAGGGAGCTCTTTGTACACGAGACGTTCAAATCCGCGCGTCATTGCAGACCTCTCGTCTTTTGTCGCTATTCTAAAGCTGTGATATTGTGAGAGTGTTATTGCAGAACAACAAAAAGAGTCTTGCACTTCGCTGATCCTTTTGCCGCTCAACAAAGAATTGCTGTGAAATTGTATGCAAAATGGACTCCTTCATCAAAAGTGAACTCTCTTCGTACTCTCTTTTCTGTCTATTCTGACATCCGTATCGTTAGTTGTACCTCACAAAAGGACTTGCACTTAGCGTTAACAGACTTCGTTATTAGCTTCGCCGCCTAGTTGATTACCTCAAAATGGTCTGGTAATGTAGAATCATGTAATGAACGTATCGAAGTGTTGTAATATCATTTGCTACCTCCTTTTCGATTTGTACTTATTTTTGTAATTTACACATTTGTAATTTGAACATAACTAAGTATTGTAGTATCAGTTGCTACCTCCTTTTGAAATTTTACTTATTTTTGTAATTTACACGACCATTATTACAATATGCTGCAGAGATATTACCGGCAAGACATTTATGACACGTATCATATGAATTGGAAGAAAAAATGTAAAATTGCCCCTCCAAGAAACTAAGTCGAATGTTATACGTTCATTTATAGACAAGACGATATCAAATACACCGTAATATCTCGTGTAACGACACTGAAGCACGTTCTCTCGTATATTTATATGTCAAAAGAAACCCTGGGAACGACTTCATCACATGCGACTTGCGAGGTGAAACATATTTTTAGCACAACTCTGGGCTCTCTGTCCTTGTCACGTCAATGCATTTCAGGACGATACAAAATCCTCCTGTAGATGCAGTGAATCTCAAAATGGTCTGCAGTGTGTGACGGTACCTGCCGTAGCATTAGTATTTTATCATCATGGGCGCGTAATACTGTGAATAAGATTAAATTCAATGCAGAAATACGTCTTCTGACGGAGCGTCAACATTGCTACCTGAAGAGCTGAACTCTCTGCGGAAAATTTGGAAATTGAGGGGAGTTTTAAGTTTAGCAATTTCCTGTCTCAATTTCTCGATCAACTATTTGTTGTTTTCACTTAATGAGCTGAAGTTATCTGCAGAAGTTTTAACTATTTATTTTTATTCTTCTGTATTAACACTCTTAGAATTAAACGATGTTGAACATTCTAAAACAATTGGCGGGGGGCAACTTCATTTCTAGGGCCCCCCTCTTTATTTTTACCCCTCTTTTTTTATTTATATGTAGGTATTTTACTAGTAAACAAATAAAGCACTGATAGGCCAATGAAATTATCCTAATTGTAAATATAATCGATTTTGTATTGAACCATTTGCAGAGTTGCCAGATAGTTTGCAGTGTCTCTTCCCCAAAAGTCTTAAATAATTTTCCTAACTGCCATGTTTAAAAAGAGGAAAAAATAGGAATTGAACATGTTTATGAAAATAAGCTGTTTTATTGAGTAAGGCAACGGGGCCCTTGCAAAATTTCCGGGGTAGTCTGGGGATCCTGCCGCTTCCCCTTGTGTGGGTGCTCATTATGTTAAACATTGACTATTTACTTCGAAATCGACGCAATGAAAAAAGAGAAAATGTATTATTTTGTATTATTTAATTGTAGTCTAGTTAAACAAACTCCCGAAAGCATAATGTGCCCTGCAAGAGTTCTTTTCATTTTTAATTTAATAATATTCAAATGTTGCAGCATAATGAATAGAGATTTACTCATGTTGATCATGTACTCAGCTCATGTCATTGGTCTTTTCCAATGTTATAAGTTTCGAAACAAATAATGATCGCGTTCATTTCAATTTAATATAGTACTGTATTTTGTATTAATCATAAATATGGGAAGTCTCTCTTTGTGGGAAATTTATAATTTCCCCCCCCCCCACAAAACTAAGAGAAGATCGCGTGCACAATATGAAGGCAGTCTTTGAGCTTTAGAATAAAGCATAATAGAAAAAAAAACATATCAAAAGAAAATTAATAAATATGATTCCTTAAGTATGAGATTCATGTGTACATGTGTACATGAAAATAGTGTGTATTGGAGGGGGAATTTACGTTTTGGAGTAATGTCCCCGCTGCTAACCAGGCTCTTTGCTATCGGTATTCATAGGTCATCTCTGTATGGTAAGAGCTCAGGATTTTCGTAGCTCGAAAACACGCGCGCCCGATAGTGCTATTGCTGGAGAATCAGAAATGTGCTTCGGCTGAGCAGTCAACACCGGTTTAGTACATTCGGGTGAAGCCGGTGGAATACCCGCGTAAACTGGCGTAAATGACACGACAAGCGTATACATCTCTAGCCCAATATTTCCAAACAATTCTTGAACGATGAAAGGCATGATGAAATAAAGAAATAAGATGTTTCTAAGCAATTCAACTGGTAGGGCTTTTGAAAAAATTGTGCAGAACATAAAAATAGTTTAATTTTGATACATATATCTTATTATTAAAATTGTATACATTACATTTTTCGTCTTAAGATTTTTTTTCAAATAAACAATAACTGATGGTAACTCAACTTTTATTGTCAAGGATAGAATGTTGAACGGTTCCTCTTGTCAGTATCTTTCGTGGCACGTGTCATAACAGTCATAACCTATATGTGCTCCTGCGACGGAACCCTGGCGATGGGGAGGGGGGAGGGGGAGGGGCGAAGGGCTGAGAGGGGAGAGGGAACGCGGAAAACTCAGCAATGACGCTTGGGGCAATCGGAGGTCCTGACGCGCACAAACAGACGGTGCGTCTCTACATTCGTTCCAGCCCTAATGAGACACCCAATTGTTTCCTGAAGACCTCATTTCTTTACAAAATAACTTCAGATTTTTTAAAATTAATGTGGCGTCAATTAATTAACTAACCAAATATTTTTAGCGACTCGTCAATTTAAAACCAAACAATAAACAGTATTTGACAATTTTAATGAATATAAAAACTGGGTAAATATAGGAACCCGATTTGTCATTTACGTGAAAATTAATTGGTTGATAATGTGTCTATATGGGATGTTCAAATGGATCAACACTGTTTATATTGTTTATGGCACATGAAACATATTTTGCAACAGAAACTGCGTGTCGCTGTTCTCTGCTACTCATTCTAGCACCTTACACATTCTTGTAATGATCTACGTGAAAATTCAAAAGCGGAAAACACCTAATTTTGAATTCTGTGTTTACTCTTTACGGAGTATTTGATACTGAAAGTAAACAAACGACAGTTTGGTCGGACGGAATAAAAACCGCCATGGAATAATTGTAATTTGCTGCTCACAAGTCCTGAATAATGATCCTCGTCCGGGAACCTGTTTCTATTGTTGTTCACAATACATTGTTGAAAAAGTGCATGCTCGGACCCTACGCTTCCATTTTGTGAGTTCCGTTACGTTTGTAAACTTTCCTCTTAATGACTACAATTATGTATGGAAAAGCACAAGATTTATAACTGTGTAATTTTAAAGAAATGTAAAATAAAAATACACTATGTTGTAATAGTTCATACCTTCTATCTTCGATGGAAAATTATTTCCAATTGATACCTTCAATTAGTACTGCTATAATTTGCAATAGATGAAAATAAATAAATATATTTTCAAATTTGTAGGTGTAATACAATTATCAGTTTTACGTATTCCTTCTAAAACTGTGAATCACATCAACGAAGGAATGTCAGAAGTATGAATTGTTTACGTTAATTTATTGTGGTTTATAATTCAAAAAATTCCTAAATGTGCACTTACTAGAATTGAAGACATTCTTCTTCAAATGTATTCCATTATTTCCTTTAAATGCCGTAAATAGGGAATGTTGATACTAGAGATCTTATGGAATCTTGGATATTGAGAAATTACATTGTTAGCACTCTCAATTATTCCAGAAATGGGAGAACAAGGAAATTTACTGATTCAGCGGTCATATAACTTACTTAGGTTATCACACTCCAAACAAACAGTATCCTGTTATGTTCAAAACTACTTGGTAATTTGAGTCTATTCAAAATAACACTATTGTAAGAACATTTTAGAATTCAAAGATATTTGTAAGTAATTCTGTTCTGGATTAAAAATCGCCTAAGATTATTATTTATTTTACCTGAAACAGTTTCACAATTGCATGGAGTCCTTGACAATTGAATAAAGACAAATGAATGAGGAAAATGCGCTAAGTCACTCAGCAATATTTGTACGAAGTTTCAGCAATAAAATGTATTTCCATTGCAGAATCGATCTAAAATATAATCGGTATTTTTGCCAATGGAATATTATTATGGGCCATTAAATGACACCCCAGCTATGTCCTTTTTGTATGGACAGATCAATGAGGAACATCTGTTCAACAAACCCTGATCGTACTACTGCAATTTGTACTGCTACACTTTTTCAAATATATGTATTTTGAAATAATACTAAGATTAACTTTTGCAAACATGAATTGAATGCAAATAAATAAGAATGTTAAAAATTCTTAGGTTTGGAGTATCAATTGCATTGGATTCTAACAGTTACATTTTAACAAAGCACAGCCATCAGCAAAAACTATTGAATTTTGAAAAAGATGTGGACAAGACCAGATAAATATTAGAGTAACTAATGTAGAAATTCTATAGAATGGGAAAGAATCCATCCTTATAGAATGTAAACACCTTTTACGAGCAGACTAATAAAACCAGTTACACAACAGCTCCAAAAATAAACCACCTGACCTTCAACATCAACAAAACATTTTCACCACCCTCAGCATCGCACACGTGACGGCGAACAAATCGATAGCATCAGCTCGGGTGAAAGACAATGCGAAACCGTGACCCGCCAACCGCTTAGCCTGGACGGAGGTGTGGCTCGTTGACAGCGCTCACGCCAACACGCTTGCCGAATCTTAAGTGAAGAGAATAAAGCATAAACTGACATTTACATAATGTTATAATCACAAATCAAATAAAAAATAATTCAATTTTAAATATCAGATTTATAAATTATACACATGCAATGTTCATTGTTATTTTTAAGGGCAATCATTACAATGTTCTCAATTTATCAAAAGTAATTCGTCTTGTGATAAGAACTCGATGTACCTTTCGGAAGACATGAAAAGAATTAGTATCCATATTATTGTAAGAAGTTTCTTAGAAAATACCAATTCCAAATACAGTATTAAGTAAAGACATCTATTAATAGTATATTAAAGCTGAAGAAAACACGACCATTTTTAAATCTTCCAGATTTATGTCTTTTACTACCTATGTTAAATGCAATAAAATTTAATACAACACATTATTTAATCTCAACAATGAGAAAACTTGAAGATTGAGATAGAAAATGAATCATACAAAAACAATCCAAAAACACATTTAAAATATTTTGACGAGGATTTAACTAACGCAAAAATTTCATTTCAATTAAAAATACACTTTGCTATACTATAGCAACATAATTTTTGTATAAAATCGATTCAACTTTAAAATAATGCTATCTCGTTTTTAACAAATTTATGTTTGTATCCTATAAGGTATGTGTTTTGAATAATTTTGTGACGCCCTTCTTTTGAAACTGATGTAAATTCATGCAGTAGCTAATAACGAGACCTGTTGATGAGACAAAGTCATTATAATTAATATAAAGTTCAGCAATTTTGATGTCGATGGTGCATTATTGTAAATGCGTCCATTTTTATTCTGTTTATGAAATACATTATACTTTCACTACTGTTCTTTTATTTCTATATTACAGTTAGTTTAATGAATTTCTGCTAAGTGTTAAAGTCTTAAAAGTAAAATAGCGAAGCTGGTGAAAACATATTTTTGAATGTATTATGTTTTCCAACAAAGCGTGAGATGAAATAAAAGAATACGACAGTGTTGAACACGTCGTTTACTTACTTTTCTTTTCAACGAACTGCAATTACTTATTTTTGAAGAGCAGTAGAAACATTTTTAATTGAAAATCCTATCCTCATTTCTTTCCGTCTACTTCCTTTCGAATACCATATCCGGTAACTTAAAGCAAGTAATACAGCAATATTCAGTAACAAGGGATGTAGTTCACGGGATTGGTCGAAGTATAAACAATTAAACTATGTTTATACTTCGATCAATGCCGTGAACTACATCCCTCATTACATCGTGCTCGATAGTAAATGTTCAGTAACTTCCATTTTCCCTTCCCGGCTCTGGGCACATGCGTTTTCGACTGCAGCACAACTGAACGCTTTTTCCTCTACGGCCCACGATGTCGATTGGAAGTCGCTAGTCGATATCGATAGGACCACCGATCGCCGCTGGCGGAGGTCCACAACCACAACCTTCGCCGCGAGGGCACGTACCTGTCCCAAGTCATGGCGGCGACGAAGCAGACGGCGACGACAGCGGCGAGGCGATGTCGACGTCGGCAGCTAGACTGGCTTTCTCCGCGGCCGCCGCGCGGTTTTGTGGGCGCCGCCACCCCCTCCCCGCCTCTGGCCACGGTCGCTAGCCGCCGCCGCCGCCGCCGCCGCCATTGCCGCCACCACCGCCGCCGCCGCTGTCGCCGACGCACACTGGGCCGAAATCGGGTGAATAATGCAAAGGGGGGGGGGGAATCGATAAAGACAAACTAATTCGCTCTTTGTTATTTCGTTGTTTTGTTGAAATAAATAAATGAAAAATGTCCACTACACCAAGAATGGTTATTTATGCACCAATGGCGTTATACGGTTCAAATGATCTTTATCTAATGCGCTTTATATCACCTGAGATAATTAGAACCAGTTAATGCCCGTGGTACACACTGATTTAATTTTTACCTAATTTTAATAATTCAGACTTAATTTAACATCTAGTTAATTAAAAAGTAACTCGATTTGTCTTTTCATATTTTTCATGACTCTCTCAATAAGAGAACATGTAGCATCATTCAACTGTCTTCATGATTCCCTCTTAACAACGATCCTCTCGATCGAGTTAAATTGTGCAGGATATATCGATCTCCGTATCGAAAGTAATAACAAACAATAACGTATCAGTAAAAATAACTTTATTTCATGTGAACGTAGATATCTCAAAGTCGAGGGAGAAAACGGAGAAGTAGGTAAAAACGTGAGCAAGGTGATGCGGAATGAAAATCTGGAAATAACGAAGAATTCTCTATTTGAGTTTCGAGAAATAGAGATATCAGTGAATTCAATTTTTTAAATGAAGTTTGCCAGACTATTTTCATTACTTCGTGTTTTGCATTCATAATTTTGTAAGTTGTAAAATGACGTATCACATACAAGCAAGAAGCTAAAGACTTGCTTACAAATTCCGATAGTGAACAATGGCAACATCTTGCTACCATGAAAATTATAAAAATTAGCAATACATTACTACAAACCAGAAATAAATTAACTTTAAATATTCTTCATTTGAAAAAATAAATCCCTCGCGTATATAAATAAAATACATTAAAATATTTTGTCCAAATTTTGTCATGAAAACGAATTACACATTTCTGACTTTATACAAAAGTAGCTACAAAAAGTGCATATAGTCTTCAACATTATGTGGTTCATTTTCAACCCTTTGTTTCTTTCGTGTTTCCAACTATCAACACTTCACTGATGGCATCATTTTACAAGGAGTTATGAATGTCAAAATTAATTTTTATACCTATAGGAAACAAAAATATTCCAAATAGCTTAAGATGTAAAAAAAATACATTGAAACTGTGTTTTAAAACTGCCTCAAATGTGGACAAACATCCATTTCTGTAGTTATTAACATCATCAAAATTAAGTCATGCAAAACCCGAGTTCGCCGTTCACTTCCAAGTCATTTTATTCGCAATTGAAAATATGCATTTATTTTTCTTTATCGCAAAACTTCAAGGGAAACAGAGTTATTTGAAGAAACGTCGCGTTCCAATTGGCTTGAGTCAATTACATCATTTCCTGGTTATTCACGTCCATTCCTTTCTTGGATGCTGTCTATGCTGAATAGAAGTACATATGCAATAGAAGTTTGCAATTATGAGGCAGACATTAATGCCACGCTGCCAGCAGTCCTGCTATCGAGGGACACAAAAGGATGCCGTACTGTACTCTTACAACGACTTGATGTGTTAATTGTAGGTGCACGATTTCTATGGTCATGATTGATTGATTGTTAGTGATTCCTAGGGGGTCAATTACTAAGGTTGTTAGCCTCGTACGTATAGTGTATGTTTTGCTCGGGAGATAGTAGTCTGCGGAGAGAGTGGTCTACTCCCACTGTTTGGCGAGATCGAGGTTTTTCCCAAATATCTGCCAGTGTAAGTGTGTGTGTGTGTGTGTGTAAGGGGTGAGGATAGGACAAGGAAGAAATAGGAAAGATCGCGCGCGGTTCGTGGCCCGTTTGTTAGGATACTACCCCGGCATCTTCCTGGCGTTGATCAGAGAAACAACGGAAAACTACCGATCAGAGCAGCCAGCCGCTAGAATTCTCCTCCAGACAGCGACTGAAATCGATCTAGCTGACAAGCTAGTATCAAAAATCCTGCCACCGTCGGGACTCGACCCTAGGAACTCCCGTCAGAGAGATTGCAGTGACATCAATTGATGCCCTGAACCATCTCTCCCGGTCCATGGTCGTACGACGATTCATTGTACAATAATTTTCCAATCAACCCTTTCATATCATAATTTACTATAATCTGAATAATTCCAATTGTATGCCATTGAAAAACGTAAGTAAATAATAAATAACATTGGCATTTTCAAAATTCATGTCATTGGATATTTAATTAGAACTGTTAACTATAATTATATTTTAAGTTATAATGATGTATTAAACTGAACTGGAATCATTTGCGGGTCATACACTCGTGGTATCAAGACCACAATAAATCTGTTAGCAATCTATATTAGTAATTTCTACTGACCGCAGGACTCGAAACAAAATTATGCAGCGTGCGGCCATTAGAGGGTATTTATGATTTAAGGATATCCGAAGAAGTAGGGAAAAATTCAAATACAATAAAGAAATCTCGATTTGAACTGAAAATGCAAATATGTGAGTGCGTTATTCTGCCTACTCTCGCAGTGAGCGTACTGATTGAGTAATTATGAATGAGCCACTGCGTACGACACAGCTCTCGTCGTGCTCCTTAAGCTCTAAGGAAGAGTCCTGCCCTGCCTATGAAAATAACTTTTGTAAATATACTACAGCATAGCAATGCAACATTCTTCTCTCTGTTTTTCTTAGAATATTTAATTAATTTTGATGTTGTACGAGAGTATTTTATGTCTTTATCTTCAGCAGAGTGCTTACTACTTTTCGACAACTATTCTGTGTATGTTCAGCATTTTTTTCCCTTCAGATCACATGTTGTTACTTTACAACATGATATATCGTTCTATAAGAAATTGGACAGAAAAAATATGTAAATTAACAAAACAAATATTTTTGTTGCTTTGTTATAATAATACTAATAATAATAATAATAAAATAATAACAATAATAAATCTTATTATTATTGTTATTGATGATATTAACAAGTATAATAATAATTATTATATTTGTTAATATCACCATTAAAATTCGATTTGTATCTCAGATTACCGAGATATAGCAACATATAATTGGATAATGAAGTGAAGAATGTTAATCCCATAGGTGTATAGTCTTCTTTGTGTTCTCTAAATCGGAGACAGGAGACTCTTGGAAAATAATATTTAAAATCTCCGTAAAAATGAGCTCGGAAATTTCATTTATCTCCGATTTTAATTAAATTTCTAAAATTGCACATTAGAATCTCCCGCACTTTATTTGCTCTAAAGAGATTCTCAAGATAACGCTGGATAATTAGAAGGTTTAACTTACAATAACATAATATTAGTGGTCACCCAATGGTCCAAACTCGACCGTCATTCATTACATTTTTAATTTTTAACGTTATTGAAGTTCTATTGTAAAACAGTATATCTTGTTTGCCTTAATTTCCAACAATACCTATGACATTTGAAAACCTATGAGAACCTACGTATGAAAACAGGGTGGGGGAGGATCACTGAGCTTCTTGGTCCAGCATGGCTGAGAAATAGAAAAGAAACTAGTCTCGTGACCTCAAACACCAAGAGAGCAATGTACTTCGGAAGTCAAATACAATGTCTCCGGTACACTTTGTTTATGTATATTGTTATGTTAAGAGAAAAATAAAACCACTACGAACGTTTGTAAAAATAATAACGTTCACGTGCATAAAATATTATTACAATTATAATGACTATTATTAATAATATGCTTTTCGCGTATACAAATGCAAATATGGATTGAAATATGTTTTTCTTACATGCTGCGATTGGAATAAAAGGCCTAGTGACTCATTTTGTGGATTAGAGCATAGAAGATCAAGTTTTAAAGCTCCAAAACGGAGTTACGTACGACAATGGGGTGTTGCAGCGTTTTGCGTGATCCACCTAAACGCCATATTATTTAATTTAATAAGCGTATGTAACATGTACATTTCAGCTTTCTGCACATAAACTTCAACTATGTCAAACCTCACACTCCTCCATTCACGCAATACATGCTTAAAAGGGGTATTTTTTCACGTATTAATAAACAGAATTCAGAAACATTACAAATAATATAGGAAAGTAAGGGGTGTAGCATCATTAGTTGTTATTGTTTGCTGAAGAGCTTGAAAATCAAGGGAAAGAAGACATGTGAACTTTTCGTGTCATTCCGATCCACTGTGACCGCGGCCCCCGCCCGTGGCCACGGCCGCGAGTCGCCACCGCCGCCGCCGCCGCCGCCGCCGCCGCCGCCTCCGTGTCGTGCAGCGCCGCCCCGCCCCCGCCGCCGCCGACCGGTTCTGCGGCGCCTACCCCGCCGCCGGCCCTGGCGGCCGACGACCGCCCCCCGCCTGTGCCCTCGGACGCCGCTGGACGGGGACGGGGACGGGGACGGGGACGAGGGCAAGACGGAGGCACGACAGCCAGGACCAGCTTCCTCCACGATCGTAACCTTCCCGTGTTAAATGTAATTCGACAAGGAGGCGTCAATCAACTAGTAGCGGGGCGGGTAGTACGCTTTCGATGACAGAGTTGTGTAGGGCCAGAACGATCGCTTTTTGCGGCATAAATCTGACCGATTACATATCTATGTATTGTTGATTTTGTTAAACAAAAAAATTTTTTTTTTAATTGAAAAGTGCTTTTTCTTCCAGTGCAGTTTCTAGTTTGGGGCTAATATTCATACAGTCAGAAACGGTTCGTGCCCTTAATGTCGGTGACTCCTAAAACAATGCCGACCAAGAAGATTTTGACAAGAAAATCTGGAATGAAGAAGAGTCTCAGGCAACGTGGAGCCGAATTGTAGTGTCGGTGTCATCTGGGTCGGCCCCCATCTCCTTATTTTGTGAACATTCCGCCTTGCGGGCAGCATTGCTGTCAGTACTGGAGGAGACTTCTAGAGTACAAGGAATGGAGAATCAGCCAATCGAAAGTAGACCCAAAGAAAAGCGTTGGGTACTTTGATGATGGCACTGAAACCTCAACCGACGACTTCCAGAATTCTCGTTGGCTGTTCCAACAACGAAGGAGTAAAAAAATCCTCTACTCCCGGGACTCGCCTCGAAGACTTCCCTGTGTACGAAGATTCTAATGTTTCGAACGGTCTAGTCATTTACGGACTCGAAAGAACGTAGCCCTCGCGCAGCAGCCAAACTTATTATTATTTTATTTTATTGTAAAGACCTTTTTTCAAACCGCCAACCGGTTTCTCGCTTCCTACTTCGTTGCGTGACCTGGCAACCGGCGATACCCCTCCCCCGCCTTCAGTCGTGGACGTGCCGGAGATGGCAACGAGGACCAGGATACTGGGGGACAACACTTTCTGTTTTCCTAACCTTCCAGTGTTGAATAGAATTCATCAAGAAGGGTTAACTAATGGTACAGCTAAAAAAAATGAAAGAAACATGCGCTTAGTTTTCAATAATGGTCAGCAGTATAAAAACACGAAAACTTTAGCTTTTCGTTTGGCGGTTTGAGTATCGTTTTGTTAGTTCCGTTGTGTACCGTTTTCGTCTTGTCAGTTCAGGTCATAATTCACATGAAACTTATCCATTTTCTTCCTTTAGATTAGAGCTAAAATCTAGATCGATTCTCTTGATATCCGCGTCATCCCTGTGCTGCAGAAACATTTACACTGACTTTTTAAGAACATTGGTCCACATGGGAATAAATCAGACCACCGCCTGGATCTAAGGTTGATCTTGGAAACATCACTGGGAAAGGAAACATCGCGATGGAGTATGAACCTACTGCTCTGGTATCATCGCCGATAGGTTTAGAGGAAACCACGAAAATGATCGATGCGAACCACTGGTCTTTCGAATCCTCCGCCGTTCTGTGGCACCGTCAGCTACTCCTCTGCAAAAACCACCACAGACGGGACCCTAGAATTTCACAGTTAACGAATAATCTCCCACACCATTCTCGCAGCACCGATGTCTGACGCGCCATGTGACGCGCCAATATATTTACTTATCGTATGGGACTTCGTTCCACACCCGTGTATTCAACCCTTTAAAGGCTACTTCCGTCGCGGGTCTAGGGAAGCTTTTTCGAACAGGAGCGCCCCGCGAACTTCCCCCAAAACGCCTAGGTGTGACTCACATTCTCGGCCTGAGGTCGGCCTCAGTTAACTATATACGAACTTTGTATTTGGGGGGAGAACGAAATATTGTTAGGACGGGAAATTGCCGAAGGCATTTCATTTTGCCGTCACCTCCCACAGTTCTTTTGTATGCTACAAGAATGGCATGGCCACTGTGGGTTTTTTCCGCCCTTCAATAATTCACGTGCTTAGGTCAATATACCTAACTTCTATTGAGTACTCGCAAGGACATAAGGTAACACACCGGTTAAACTGATACAGAGGGGGCGGATTTTGATGACCTAAAACATTGCCAAAAATGATCCATAACATGCTCTTACAATGCTTTAAAATTCCCTAAAACAAAGAAAAATGATGTAAAACATATGATCAAAACCACTTCAGATGAAACACGCAAGCTGTTTGGTATGTTACTGATGTAATCGAGGCTTCTTCGTATTGTTCAAGTGAACTCAGCTGGCTAACTTTTGGTTTGGACTGTTCTATAAAAGAATCTGCCTTTGTTTATCGCGAAATCAGCCCAACTGACAATGGGGCTAATAGGCGTCACAGGAACCTTAATATTACATAGTACTCACAAGGCTCACAATACAAGATATGAGCGAAGACATCGAGTACGCTTCTCAGGAATTGTGAGGTGAACATTTGTTGCGCCTCGTAAGCATTGTTTGAAGCAGCTACCATTACAATGATATTACAATCGATTAAATCAGCAAAAAATGCATTAAAAGGTAAAAAATGACTTATTAGTCGAAATCGACGAAAAATGCAAAAAATGGCTTATGAAAATGGGTCATTTCGTTTTGTCTTAACAAAAAATGAATTTGTATACTAAATGGCATTGTTCTAAAGTGAAAAGAAAAAAAAATATTTCATTAAAATTCACTCCCTACTGATAACTAATTTTGCGTATATGGTCCATGCGAAGAGATGCTGCTTCTCCCAGAATCGAATATTTATACGGTCAAATTTGTACACAGGAGAGGCCTTTTATGCCAATGCCTCTATCACATTCATTAACATAGGCAAATATACAAATATATAAGCAAACATCCATGTCCCAGTCGGGATTCCAACCCACGACCCTTGCAGCCGAGTAAGTTGTGGCGCTCACATTCTAATGATCTCAGATATTCAGAAAGGATAATTGTATTAATTTACATTATCGTAAAACATTGCTTTAATTGCCTGCCTTGACAGGACAACACAACCCGTCACACCCTTTTCTATTTCCCACGGGGATGTCATTTGGATGAGTAATATTTTTGGGCATTGACCATGCCTGTACCTAAACAGCAATTATATAATCTATCAATTATTACTTTCTTCGTTATAAGCAGTAATGTAGAGAGTTATGTGTTCCCCGGAAAATTGCTTTCGAGATTCTAACAGAAACGTTTTGGATCTTCTGTCAACGAAAAACGGTCTCTTTCTGTTTCTTTCATTTATCTGTCTCGAACCCTTGGGATTTTGAAAGCAATTCTTGAAATTTTGGGGGTACTTCCTATCATGCCCTTGGGACATTTTAAAAATATTCTCAAAAATTGCTCTATTTTTTTAAAAATTCTTGTGACAATAGAGTGAAATACATTTATAAAGAACACGATTGTCCGATTTTCACTATTAACTCTAAAGTTTCAAAACTTGCCAATGTTTGAAATTACAGGCAATCTCTCGTACAATTACTTTATTGACGATACAGATTTTTTCTTCAAATGATTTTTTCCACAATTAGTTCTTTAATTAAAGTCATGTAAGTTTTTTTTAATATTAATAACTGGGTGAAATGTATGCAATTTTAAAAACATTATTTTGGCATAAACGATCCCAATTTTTTTATTTAATTTTTTTGTGCGCAGAGGCAAATATGTTGAGTAAAGTGACATCAGCAGCTTTTTGATATTATATTTGAAAATTACCAAAATAAATTATTTTAAAATAACTCTCCCATCCCTACTATTTACACTTCAGGCTTTTCTTGTGAGTGAAAAGTTGGAACTAAGACTTGTATATTTTGTTTCGAGCACTTTCGGGGAATGTGTCAACTTTCAAAGTAATATTCAACATATTTTATTTACGCTTTTCGCATTTAGTTTGCCGCTTTTCAACCTCGTTGAATTCAGCAAGCAGTAAATTAGAGCAATGCAAACATATTTCAAAAATTGAAAATGTTAAATTTAATTTCTATTCCTTTGCTGAATCTTAAGACCGTCATCAGCAATTTAGAGACATCTCTTTGAATATATACATTTTGGGTTCTATCAAGCGTTCAGGTGTTATGTCACGACGAATTAGCATCTGAAGTTCCCGCAGGTCATGCAAATCTAATAGAAGACGAGATATTTGGATTGCATTTTGAGTTATTGTGCACTCTCATGATGAAAAGATGACAACATAGTTTTGAAAAATATGCTCCAACAAAATTTTGTTCAAATACGAACTTGTAAGTTTTAGTTCACGAAAACGGTATTTTAATGTAAATGGTTCTTAAGTAAATTTAGTTAATTGAGATCACAAATTAAGGATTTCATTCACATTGCCGACGTTTCGAACGTTGACTCAACCTTCGAACCTTTATCATTGAACCTCATTGTTCCATTAATGTAATTGAGTCTTGGCCCTTTGCAATTATATTTTAACTGTGTTTGCCAGAATTATTCTCCTTTGCAGTGACGGAACGTGCATTATGAAATCACAAGTTCAAAGCAGAAAAATTAGACCAGTTAAAACCTTGAAACAGCTCTCCTTGGGAGATCAGTTTCAGATATTGAATAAATTCTACCGGTAGTGTGGAATGAGTTTATATAAGAGATTGAATAACTAATTTATATAAATAAAAGAGCGGCTAGAGAACATTGCAAATAATCTCCTAAGCAAGTTGGTAATATACCCTAACCTCCAATACCCAAACCTCCAGCACGATACCAATAATTAGGCCAGCGGATTAACAAAATGTGTATTTTCTCCTGTAAATAAATTATGATTTCGATAGACGTTTTTCTGTTATTGCTGTCTCAAGAGATTTTAAACAACTCATCACGTACAACACTGTCAGGACACGATTTCTTGAGGACGACGGTTGTCGTAAAATTGAAGTTTCATGAAACACGGTTTTATGATCCCAGCAAAGTTTAAACGATTTGTACATACCACACTATTATCTGATATTTTCTTTTAACATTATTGTAAATAATATTGCTTTTTTATTATATATTACTTGTGAATGTATGGTATATTTCATTCTGCAAATTAATACTTTAATAATTCATGAAATATAATTAATTTGTCACGAAATCTACAAAGCTCTTAAAAGAAGTACGGGAGTATTCCGTAAAGTCAGTTATTTTTATTTGTCATATGAAGAAGAAGGTCAAATTTTTATTACCAAACGGGAAGATTAATTATGAAATATTTAAAATATACATTATTTCAATTACAGAAAACAGGTATTACACAAAGTCTGTTCCGTCCGCGGCTTACATTTGTCGGCTTCACTTTCAGAAAGGTGATAAGAGAAAGGAGAACCACAATTTAATTTCATAATGTGAATCAAATTTAAAAGAACAATCTAAAACATAAAATTATTCTTTCTAATTTTTCTAGTCAGTGTTGCATCAATTGTCATGTACAGTGTGTTAATGAACTGCATTATAATCTGTATATTATCCAATAATTCAATGTTTATCGGTCATAATCCATATTTAATGATAGATAAAAAAGTAAGAAGCATTAAAAAGTGTGTTGCTAGAGCTAAAATGCATGTTAAGAGAGGTTTAAATCTCAATTTCTCAAAAAAACACGGACTACATATTAACTGTCTTGGAATTATCAAATGGTACTACATTATTACCTGAGCTCAGTATCTTTCTTATATACACAAGAGGTATTATTAATATGATATACATTTACACACGTTTAAATTAAATTTTTCTCCCTAAACTAACTGTATTCGTCCCTGCAAAATAATACTGGTGTGTAGAATCTCCGTTATGTAGATGAGAGAAATATTCCTATTCGAGATATAATTATCTTGCAACAGAACATTTAAATGTCATGTCAATTTGTCACGAAATTTACGAAAATTCTTAATTACATGGATGTTAAATATCCACTCTAAAGTATTTTATTCTCATCTGTAGCTAAGAGTTCACTTGTACGCCACTGATATTTAGAACTTTCATAATTATTTGTAATTATAATTTTTATAATTATTTGGTAACAATATAAAGCACATTTCTCACAATCAACATAAATTTATAAACATTTACTGTTCAAAACAGTTGGGGGAAATTTCTCTCTCCATCTTTTACGTTTCTCTCTCTCCTGACAATATTTCCCTTTTCAGCGCGCCTTTAGACATATTTATCAAGTTGATGTTAATTCACCGAACATTACCTTCAATTTCGAGATATTTAGTTTTACGATACACTTCCAAGAAATTTTTCTCGCACACTACCCTTTCGTATGCTACTTTGTCTTTCACGTTTTGTATAAAGAGGATTTAGTTGACTTACCTGAATAATGTTCAAACCGACGATCACAGCAAGAAGCACGAGGTTATGCGCACACTCAGGGGGCAGTCTGTCGACTGCGGTTCTTTTCCTCCGCGGGGCACATCCGCCGGACACGCGCGATAACACTGCCAATACAGAGCCTTTGCGGTGCCGCGCGGCGGGAATGGCGGATACATTTTGACAACAGTTTTCCGGCAACGCCGATAAATTTGTTATCCAAGAATCACAGTATATGTTCAGCTACGTGCATTAACCAATTGCTTAAAAAAATACCGTTTGTAATGTAATATGAATAGCCTGAAAAATTACTGGTTCCAGTGAACTGCAAAATAAATAGCTTTTATATTTCTCCATCACGGAGATGTTTTAGGACAATTCTCCGATACTTGCCTCGTGTTGATGGGGGAAACAACGGAAAAATATCGATCAAAGCAGCCGGCCGCTAGAATTCTCCTCCAGACAGCGACTGAATTGGACCTAGCTATACAGAAAATGCCTAAACCACATTAGCTGGTAGCTGTTTCGTGTTTATGTGGCCACACTCAATATTTATCGTACAATTGCGTCCAGATTGACCTGTACGCTTTTGGAATAGTTTGTAATTGTAAACTTCCAAAGGATAAACCGTGGTTCTGGTGTTCCTTTTCGGAAAACGAATGGGGTGGTTTACCTAGAATTCAAACTATTTTGCGAAATAATTGTCATCGTTTCCTATGCGAAGAAGTTAGCCCCTGGTAAAATCATGACCTGCACGGGTAAAAGCGAGGCCGAGAGAGGGTCACTTAACGTCTCATTAGGTGTTCAATTATGTTCGCCTGACCCCTTGCGGAGTCTCATCGACAGTGGGCTTTTAGTGGGTTTTTTGTTAGGGTCTTTGACTCCCCGTACGGGGACGGGGATCGGGAGTCTGGGTTGTTGGCGGACGGGTTATTTTGTCTGTGAAGAGAGGGGTTGTTTTATTAGGGTCACTTAAGGAGCGGGCGTCCTCCCGAATGAATAATACCTCATTTGAAAGTAATAGCTTTTATGAACAATAATAATTTAAGAAACTCTCATTTCAAGTTTCCGCTGTGAATTCGTACCTACTACTTATAATACTACAAAAGTGAGGAGGAAACAACACCACTTTGTGAAGTTTTTAATAGATATCACTATACGTAGTCGTCAATCTCGAGTGTCGTTAACATGAACTTTATTTTTTTGGCATTGATAGTTTCTGAAGAATTGTTTCTCCTGATAGATTCATCGTAACACTGTTAGGACGTCCTTCGTCACGTTCAACCACATGACGACTTCCAGTTCACAGTGGAATTTCTGCTGAGCTCAATGTTGTAAAGGTTCAGCATCTGAAACAGCCTTGTAATCTAGAAAACGTGGTCGTTTTTGTACTGTCCCAACAATTATAAAGTCAAACATAGTGTTAAAAAAGTACGTGTATTTTATGGGCTGTGTGCATCCAAGGAAAGACTGTAAAACCTGATATATGTGAAAAAACGACTCTATAGATTATTATAAGTAATAACAGTTTTTCGTTATTTATAATAAACATATTTTAAAGTTTTTTCTCCAGTATAAATTCGGAAATGTGCTTGCTTATATCATTAAAAAAATAAAGTAAGTCATTACGGTTTATTTTAAATTCTTATACCCCACACGTTAATCCATCTATTTTGATGGAAGTAACTGAAGGTTAAATAAAACGTAAAATGTTGAACCGGTAAGAAGATTGGAAGAAATTCCACATAAAGGCGATCGTATCCATTAACTTACTGCTTCTAAGTAAATGTTCAACGCATCATCATACCATGACGAAAGAAGCGTCACAGCAGTGACTCATGCTTGAATGTGAAAATTAAATACATTCATCCAGGTGCAAAATGCACACCTCATTCTCAATAAAGACAATGTTATGATAAGTTTTTTCAAGGTATTGTATATGTTTGTACAGCCACAGCAAAAATCATTATTCAACAAAGTATCGAAGATCTGTCATACAAACTGGCTTAAAATTACATCTCAAGAAGATGATACAGCGAGAGATAGTACAGGGCATCAACTGATGTTACATGGAGCCTCTGACCGGGAGGTCCTAGGTTGAGTCGCGACAGTGGTGGCAGGATTTTCGACACTAGCTCTATCGCTAGGTCGAATTCAGTCGCAGTCTGGAGAACTTTAGAGGCCAGATGCTCTGATCGATAGTTTTCCGTGGTTTCTCCGATCAACACCAGGAAAATGCCGGAGCAGTACCCTAGCAATCGGGCCACGGATCCCATGGGATCTTTCCATCCTCTTCCTTGTTCTATTTTCACCTCTTACTTATAAACACACTAACATGCCCTACACTACCACATACATGCCGGGAGATCCGTCGGGAGCTTAGAGCTTGTCCCGGCTGGGGTGGTGCCCAGCTGGTGGGAGATACCTGGCTGGGGAAACCCGCGAGACGACGGTATATATCTCGCCATTCAGCGGGGGAAGACAGCCTTCTGAAGAAAAACACACACTGCACTTACGGGACTAATAACCTTGTTTGTTGACGCACCCGGAATCAGTCAATCAAGAAGATGAACACATAATCATCGTAGTGAAGTGATTAGATGAATAAATTTACACCAAAATCCAAGTGTCCTCTGTAACACAATATGTGGCAAATAAAATAGTTTGCAGAGCCTACTAGAACATATTTATTTGCGGTTTCCTACAGAACATTGCATATGGAACACTACGCATCTCTGTGACAAATAGCTTGAGACGATGTATTCAATGCGATGTGGTAGGCCAGAGGGTCGTACCCACAAATTACCTACTGTCTCGGCCATTCTCACCAACTCGTTATAGTGTGTGTAGAGTGTACATGGCCTTATTTAATTATCTGTCCCTGAAGAGATTTCATTCATGAAAAGCTCTATTTTCAATATTGTGGGAGTAGAAACAAATTTTGATATATTGCAATTTTCGAAAATTCAGAGATGTCAACGAAAATGAGACCTGCACCATTTTTAAGCGTCATTCGCTGTATTTGAGGAAAAAATATAATTAAAAAATGATGACCCAATTTTTGAGAATATTTTGAAAATGTTAATTAGACTTTACGTAAAATACGCCCTAAAATCAAAATTTCCGTTTCAAATTGGGGTCTCTAGTTCGAGTAAGTACATTGTTTGTGGAATATCAATTTTGGAGAAAATCGTCTGAAAGGTTTAGGCGCTAGTTTTACCACAGACGTTTTACCGTAAACTAATTTTGCGGAATCAAGAACAGTCAAAACGTTGATTCTGAATACACAACGTTTAAGAGAAAGTATTTTGCTACATTGAAAAACAAGATTTTTCCACCTTTTCGATATTAGTGCATCTCAATACAATTTGTTTCTGATGAAAACACGACACTTTTCCTGAAATATTACAATACTTCATTAGTACGTAAGTACGTAGTAGACGTGAAACTAAAAAATGAGGTGAAGTGACTCGCTTGGAACCGAATCGTCACCAGCATAACCAGTCGCATTCGATCCGCTCCGCAAGTTCACGGTTGTAGAAATGCTGACATCACGGAATTGAGTCAAACCGCCCGAGTGAATCGAGGTGGAAACGAGACCGACCACTATTTCCCAAAGGGCCGCTGATCAGGCTGCACGAAGATCGTAGCTGAAATCTGCTCGGTCCGGTGCGGTGACGGTGGCGCACAGGCGTGGGACAGTGGCCAGGTTCGCGGAGCTGAAGGCTGTGGATTCGCGGCCCGATTAAGCACGGTCGATTTCACCATGTGGTTGCGGTTCGAGTCCCGCCGGAGGCAGGATTTTCGACACTAGCTACATAGGTAGGTCGAATTCAGCCGCCGCCACTCAGGAGAGTTCTAGCGACCGGCTGCTCTGGTCGGTAGTTTTCTATGGTTTCTCCGATCTACACCTGGCGAATGCCGGTGCATCCCCTAATAAAGGGCCATAAACCGCACGCGATCTTTCCTTCCTCTTCCTTGTCCTATTCTTAGCTCTTACTTACACACACATACACTACACTATCACACGTGTCGGGAGACCAGTTGGAAGCTTGCGCTTGGGGCGGTGTACCGCTGGAGTGCGACCTGGTTGGGCAAACCCCGCGAGCCGACCTGAAGGGCGTCGCCGGATCTCGCCATCCAATATCAGAGAGAATATCACCCATACATCATAAATACGAGAAGCAGTACACTTCCGGAACTAATGACCTTAGCAGTTAACGCTCCTGAAATTACTAACCAAACAATCAATCAACCATATGGTTGTAAGGTAACTGGCTTCTCAGATCATTGCCTTTCTTATATATACATAATAAAATACCATTTATGATAATCATTTATCTATCTTCATCGTAATAGACTTAGCATCCTGCGTCTAGTGGAAGGAAACGAAAATCAAGCAATGAGATCAATTACCCAGGGAAGAGGACGACACATCATCTTCTTAATCTACGCTCATATATGAATAACACGCACTTACATACAGAGATTTTAGACCATCATTATTTCGTTAAAAATGTTGAAGAATTGTCAAATCACTGGTAATTTGCAGATCAAAATTCTGACATACTGATAATTTCATGCATTTAAATGTATAAACTCAATATGAGTTTAAATTTAGGATATGACAGAGATAAATAATAGCACAACAAACTTATTAAAATAAATAAGAAATATAATATACTAAAATAAATACGAGCAAGTTGACGTATCATACACATGGCGGGTGGGACAAGGTAGAAAAACATGGGTTAAGGCGAAGTTCCGACTATTTTAAGACTGGCAGGTAAAAGGTTTTCCCGCAACGTAAAAGGCGAACGTGCGAGTGGTTAGCAGGAAAAG